CAAAAACAGGATATATAAGAGGATAGGCAGGAAGAAGTGTAGCTCTAGGAGGAGTTGGAGTAGGAGTAGGAGAATGAATGTGATCAAAATGCATTCTACAAATTCCTCAAATTACTAATAAAAACTGTTCATAGCTGCAAAATATTTATTTCTAATTCATAAACAGTTGTTGCCTCCCTCTGCTCTGGCCACAATTCAAGATGATGATTCCCCAACCCCCTTCTTAAATAGCATCACATAAAATTTGCTCATACTATGTAGGTTCTTCAAATTTCAGTTCTATAAAAGTGTTGTGAAAGTTGTCCTTACATGACATAATTAAGCCTTGTCAGTTTTTTTTTTAAAAAAACTAATTCTTAGTTACTGAAAAAAGTTTCATATTTGCTTCTTAGTTAAGCAATTTACCTGAAGACATACTATGAAAGACAGAGGGCAATGGTCAGCAATGAACATGTGCTGTGATATGAATCAGATCTATGTTATGTAAAAACAAGGTAATTTATGAAATGCAAATATTGCCATGACTCAATGTATAGAAAATTAAATATAATTTTTAAGTGATATACACAGTACAGTAAAGAAACACTCATTCGCATTAAGTTTGAAGACTTTCTCTAGATGTAACAGAAGCCTAGAAGACCTTCCTCTAAGGCCACAATTACATGATGATCATTTTAATGTATGGTATATCTGCAAGAATAATAAAGAACTATCAGTCACTTATAGACAAAATAACCACTCATAGACAAAACGTAGAGGATTTTTGCAAACTAGCAAGTACTGTTACCTGAATGCAGCAAAAGACTCAAAGTTGATAAAATGGTATAGAAAGAATCAATTGGAGAAGTATATTTATCTCATTTAGTGAGAGTACAAATTTTGTATTAAATATTGAAATAATGATGTATGGATAAGTATATATGTATAAAACATGTCTTATTTAAAGATATGAGCAATATAGCAGAAATTTATGTAAAAGGAGAACATTATTTTCAGAACTAGAAATCAGTAGACACTACCTAAAGTTGAAGAGAACAATGACAAAAATAATAATGCTCTTTTTTTATGCTGAGCAATGCTTTACTCTCCTTTCAATACTAAATTACTTAGCATTGACAATACTCCAATGGCATCAGCATTTATTTTCATAAAATGGATATAAAATTATGGCATAAGAACATATATTTAAACACACATATTATATATAAATACATATATGTGATAATATATAATATGTGTTATATCATATACAATTGTATAGTTTACTGTACGCTCTCTAGATATTGTATGTAATATATGTATATATGTATACACACATACATATCAATATCCATATATGTATATAACACACACATATACATGATACACATACATATATTATTTAGAAAAGGGACTACAAAGCAAGACGATGGTGCCTAGATGAAGGAGAGATTTGTAGAAAGATGAGTTATGGGGAAAGAAAACCAATATATTTATTTTCTCTGATATTTGAAGCCTATATTCAAAGAGAGTACTACCTGAGGGAAGCCAGAGTATAGCAGGAAAAGGACAGGGAAGAATAATGGATGGTGTAACATCAAAGAACAACTGTGTACATGTATAAAATTTTCACAATAATGATAAAAGAATTAACAGTAAAAAGGAATGGGTGCACAAAGTAATAGAGACAAAAATAGGAATAGATAATGTGAGCCAAGTTGCAAAACTGGAGTAGGAAGACTATGAGTTTATTGTTCAAATTTTGTTGCTATATACCGAAAATAATTACCCACAGGATGTTAAATAATATGGACTTTGAAGTAGAGTGGTAAAAACTGAAGTTGAAAAAAGTTATTCTTAGTATTACTTGAATAGGCTTGAATATGGTATAATAGAAAGAAGAATATATGAATGCATGTAAAAAGGGATTATTCAGGACAAAATAACAGGCTAATCAACTCCCCATTTTTTTTTAAAGGGAAGAATAGGTTAAATTGATTTGAGTATAAGGGCAGTTTAGGTTAGTGTATGGAAGTGAAAGCGAGACAGGATTCAGTTCAAGGAAAGAATGAATAGGTGGGACTGACTAAAGAGGAGGAAGCTCATGACTAAGGATGGGGAAGCTCATGTAGACAACGGATGAACACATGTTGGCATGCAGGAAAGAGATTCCTGCCTGCAATGGGATTGGAGTGTAAGCACAAAGGGAGTATCTTCATTCTCCCCAACACTGAGGATAAGTTTTCTTGTCCTCACAGAAATTTCCAAATGTAAATGAGAATTAATTTGAATTAGAAATAGCAACTGAAAGCTACCTCATGCGCCACAGAAATGTCAAAAGAAAATCAGACAGATTAACTAATTCCTGAAAAAAATGTTTTATATGTAGACCAAAAGCAAACTTAACACCTACTACAGAGACAGAGTGACCTTAAGTATTGGGATCTTTACAATACATTTTTGTCTTCTAATGAGTAAATAGTCCACACTGAATATGGATAATAACAACCTCACCACAGTAACTGAATTCATTCTCATGGGCTTTACTGACCATCCAGAGTGGGAGATTCCTCTTTTTATGGTGTTTCTCTGTTTCTATCTGGTCACCATCCTGGGGAACTTGGGCATGGTCATTCTTATCCCGATGGGTGTCCAGCTTCAGACCCCAATGTATTTCTTCCTGAGTCATCTCTCTGTAATGGATGCCTGCTACACCAGTGTCATCACTCCTCAGATCCTGGCCATGCTGACCACAGGGAAAGCAATTATCTCCTATGATCATTGTGTTGCCCAGTTCTTCTTTTTCACCTTTTGTGCAAGTACAGAATATTTCCTGTTGTCAGTGATGTCCTATGATCGCTATGTTGCTATTAGCAATCCTCTGCTCTACACTGTGACCATGAGTCCTAAAAAATGCTGGAATTTGGTACTGGGAGCCTGTATATGTGGGTTATCTGGGTCCATTCAAAGAACCACATGTACCTTCTCCCTCTCCTTTTGTGAAGACAATAAGATCAACATTTTCTTTTGTGACCTTCCACCCCTGCTGAAGCTGGCCTGCAGTGGCACAACAAATGCTGAAATTATAATTGTTTTGTGTGGGAATTTCATCATCTTGGTGAATGCTTTAGTCATACTCATTTCCTACCTGCTCATCATCAAGACAGTCATGAGGTTGAAGTCTTCAGGTGGCAGAGATAAAACATTCTCCACATGTGCCTCCCACCTCACCGCTGTGGCTCTTTTTTTTGGGACCCTCACCTTCATGTATATAAGAAGTGGTTCAGGGGATTCTCTAGAGGAAGATAGAGTGGTGTCTGTCTTCTATACTGTGATCATCCCCATGACCCTCTGATCTACAGCTTGAAAAATAACGATGTTAAAGAAGCCTTCAGAAAGCTCACTAGCAGGCACCAGGTGTCCCAGAGTGTATAAAACTGGGTGAGATTACCTCTCCTTTATCAGTTTCGTATGTATAACATTCATATCCGAATAGACACCAGTAAATATATGTATGAGTTACCCATGAACAGAGAGAATGCTTGCAAGTTGTTCCAGGAACGAATTGTCATAAATTTTATATTCAGCATTTTAAGTACATTTTTCCTGTCTTTGTCTCCTAGAGCTCACTTACCATCACTTAGAGGAGGTTTAAGGGATCATCTGTTTTTTATTCTAATTTCTGGTACAATTTCCATCTTGTCTTTGTTGCTACATATATTACTGTACTTCATGTGTCAAATATTAGGACTCCTGTGAATTGAGCTAATTTGATTCTTTTGTTTCTTTTTTCATATAAAAATGAAATAATAAGTCTACCTCATTTATTATTGTATTGTCTTTCTTAATACTGAGGCCTGATTAAGAGCTGTTCGAAACTGTCTTAGTAACTCACCGATTTCTGCTTTTTTATTGATATGTTGACATCCTTGCAATGAACTTGGACACCTTACCTTTGGGAAAATGTCTACAATCGCCAATTCTGACTTCAGATGGGCAGTGCATTGCCACTCCTCCTTATCACATCTCTAAGTTCATAGAAAGTTCTCAGTCATGTATGCTCTTTTAGAGTTAACAATGTGAGTGAGTACAGACACAAACAGTCTTTGTAGTAGACTTGATGACCTGTGAATATATCAACTCCTGTACCAGTCTGTAAAACTTCATAGGATGTTCTTTGTTTCCTTCATTTTCATGTCAAAAGTCAGATGAGATCTCAACAATTGAATTTGAAGTGATATTTTTGTCAAATATAGAGTTCCATTTTCACTTTAAGGCAACTTCAAAGGCAGATGAGATGTCACATATGAAATTTCCATTTTGTAATGGAGAACACATTTCCTTCAGACTCCAAAAATTCAAAATACCCAGTGGTAGATAAGAAGTCATAGAGTGGTTTGAATATAAATCCTATTTTGCCTCTAATTCAGTGTGAGAATTTGGGTAAATATTTTTTTTTCTCAAGACCAAAGTATATACAGCAATTCCTAATTCAAATATAGAATAATAATTGAGTATGATGGTAAGAAAATTCCTAGCACAAGTCAAGTATCAATATAGATTTATCCTGTACTTTTTGTTATTTAACATTATGATATCAAATCTTGATACTATTCCGTGGACATTGACATATTCAATGTTGATGACCCAATGATGGTAAAAGGCAGTGGACAGAGGGAGATGAATTAATCATTTCCATCCATGAGGAAATCAAACAAACTTTCGTGTTTATTCGGGGGAATATATTTATAACATATCACATAATCAACGATAACTAAAGGATGACTTCTTTAAATTTCCTTTGCTTTAGTTTTTATTTCATGTGTTTGGTTGTTTTCGCTGCATGTGACTCTGCATGGGTATGTGCAGCACCCTGAGGAGAACAGAAGAGGGCATCACATCACCTGGGTTTGAAATTACAGATGCTTGTAAGCTGTCTTCAAGTGCTGGAAATTGAACCTTAGTCCTCTCTAGGGTCAGGTATCTCTTAACTGCAGATCCGTCTTTTTATCTCCAAAGATGTCTTCTGTACTGAGCATATTGCTTTGTGCACACAGAACTCTTATATCTGACTGTCACTTTAGAGACATAAATTCTTTTCCCTCCATGTGGAAATAACCATGGAATTAGAATAGATGACTGCCAAGCTTTCTGTTGATTGATTCTGTGTTAAGCACTTGGCCCATGTAAAGCTAGTAAACATTGCAGTCTGTTTTGTGAACACAGAAACAAAAAAGAGACTCAGACTTGGAAAACAATTGATCCAAGCATAGAATATAAAAATGGCTAGTAGAATTACAAGGAAACTCTCAATTTACATAATAATCAGGACTTTCACAATTAAATCTTCAATTTGCTGACTGGCTTTATGAAAATTAAAAAGCATCATGTCCTCATATTGGCAAGAGTGTTTATACAGGAGAGTACAAATTGGTGGTTTTAATGACTATATGAATAATTTGATATTTTCATATGAAAACTCAAACCACACAATGAGCAATATAGCTAAACTAATGACCTGAATATGTACTAAAAAATAACTCTTAATCATGGTCATTGATATACAGGGACTTTTTTTCATAGAGTGTTGCTGTAGAAACTTATCACTCTGAACATTTTCCTTCCTTGTTCATTCTTCCACTTCTGAGTGTGCATGCTTTGGTTGGAACAAGATGTCATTTTGTAATACAAAGTGACACTGATGATTAAAACAATGCATATGTGGTAATAATGTTGAAAAAGATATCGATTTGAGGTACTCCCTTCTCTCTCAATACAGATATATAGAGACTATACACTACTTTCTTCCTACTACTTTAACTTTACTCTGTAGGTTTTGATGTGTTGTATTTTCACTCAATCCAAGACTATTTTTTATGTTTCATTTTTTCTTCAACAACTCTTTCATCATAATAGTATGTTTTTAATCTTCATAAGCTACTGTATACTCTATGGTCTTTTATGCTCCTGATTTATAGCTTGATTACACCATTGTGATCCTTACACAGAATACAAGTAAATATTTCACTATTTTCAATTATTTATCAGACAGTCCTAATAGGTCATCTATTTAGAGAAAACTCCATAGTCCACCGAGAGGAATCATAATTCTGTAGTGTTTTAATGGAATGATGTGTATGTGTCTATTAAATCCATTTGATAAAATTTGTCATTTTTGTTAAGATATTTCTGTATATTTTTTTCTGTGTTGACATGTCAATTGGTTTAAGTAGAGTTTTGAAGTCAACTAGTAGTATTTTGACTTTACACCAAGTAGCATTTGTTTTTCGTGAGGGTACACTCCCATTCAATGTGCACATATTTAAACTTAAATGGTCTTCTTTATGGGTTGTTCTCTTAATTGATATGAAGTGATTTCTATTATTTCTTCTGAATTTTTGTTTGAAATCCATTTTGCCAGACAGTAAAATCAAAACTATTGCTTGTTTAATAAATCCATTTCCTTGGTCCACTTTTTCCGTCATTTAACCCTATAGGCAATGAACAGTTGGTTGCTGCTTTTTTATGCAGTTTGATAGTTTGTGTCTTCTGACTGGGTGATTAAGAAAATTAATGTTTAGAGCTATTGTAGGATGATATATATATATATATATATATATATATATATATATATTTAATTTTGTTAATTCTGTAGAGCTCTGTGTTTCTTATTTCTGCAATATAGGTATTATTCCAGTATGGTTTGTTCTTTCCTAAAATAGCATCATGGATTGTTATTTTTTATTTCTTCTCTTCCACTCAAAGTTTTCCTTCACATATCTTGAACACCTAGCAGAATGGTAATGAACACATGTAGCTCATTTTTATCGTGGAATATTTTTGTTCTTTTCTGTTTTGATGATGATGTTGCTTTGCTAGGTGTAATAGTCTTGATTGTCAGTTGTCTTTTAGAACTTAAGATATATCATTCTCACCTCTGGCATTTAATGTTTCTATTGAGAAATTTATAAGCATACTTTTACGTGTAATTTTGTATTTCTCTCTTACCGTTTAAAATATATTTCCTTTTGCTGTTTATTTAGTAGTTTAATTATTATATGATAAGAAATCTCTATTGTTTTATGGTCTTATCTGTTTGATGCTCTAAATGCTTCTTTTATTTAGATTGTATAACTTTTCTTAATTTTGAATATATGTGTGTGTGTGTGTGTGTGTGTGTGTGTGTGTATGTGTGTGTCAAAACATTTTATACCACTAGAATAAAATTCTTATTTTTTAAAATTATTTTTTTGGTTATTTACATTTCAAATGTTATCCCTCTTCCTATTCCCCCTCCACAAGGCACCTATCCCCTCCTCTCCCTGCCTGCCTCTATGAGGGTGCTCCCTCACTCACCCACCAATTCCTGCCTCAGTACCCTAGCTTTCCCCTATCCTGGGTCATCAAGCCTCCACAGGACCAAGGAGCTCCCCTCTCAGTTATGCCAGAGAAGGCTATCCTCTGTTACATATCCTGCTGGAGACATGGGTGTTCCCCCACCCTCTGCCCACATGTACTCTTTGATTGGTGGCATAGTCCCTGGGATCTTTGGTGGATCTCCTTGGTTTTTACGGTTGTTCTTCCTATGGTGTTGCAAACCCTTTCAGCTACCACAGTCCTTGCCCTCAGTTCTCTATTGGGGTCTGCATGCTCAGTCCAAAGTTTGGCTGTGTACATCCACTCTGGCAAAGCCTCTCGGGGGCAGCTAAAAGAGGCTCCTGTCAGTAAGCACTTCTTTGCACCTCAGCAATAGTGTCTGGGTTTGGTGTTTGCAGATGGGATGAATCTCTAGATGGGGGTCTCTGAATGGTCTTTCCTTCATTTTCTGCTCCACTCTTTGTCCCTGCATTTCCTTTTTACAGGAGAAATTCTGGATTAATATTTTTGAGGTAGGTGGGTGTCCTCATCAAACATAATTATCAGATGTAATATTGTCATAGTTTCAATATATCTTGAAAGTTTCCTTAAGGAATTTTGAGTTGACAAATATATGCTGGGAATATTTGTTGAGGTCAGAGGAGAGCATGCAAGGAGATGGCTCTGTAGCAATCTCCTTAACCTTTGAGCCATCTTTCTGGGCCAACTTTTGTATTAATATTGTCCTATTGCTCCCATTGGTTTATTTTTATTCTTTTATTTTGACTTGCAGCTCATATTTTCTATAATTTTCTCCCCACATTGTATTGGTGTGTCTTTCTACATTCCCTATTCTTTGACTTAATATAATTTATATTTCAAATATTTCAGTTAAATATTTATTGAATTTCCCTTTCCGGTCTTACACCAAATTTATTACTTCCTTAAACTGTTTTCATCAACTTGAGACTTGTTAATTATCTTTCTTAGTATATCTGAGTATACATTGGATTATTTGTTTGGAATTTCATTTGCATCTAACCTATTAAAATTCATTACTGTGGGATTAACAA